GAGAACAGCACCAGCTGTCATGGACAGGGCACTCCGAGGCCCCAGATGGAGTGCTCGGGTGAGGGGTGTTAGCAGCTGTGCTAGCACCCTGTCACAATAGAGGCTAGGGTCATCCTCGGTGACCAGAGCCTGGGCCAGCGGGTGGGAATGCACATTCTTCACACCGTAGTCTCAATGGGGCTTGCTCCCTGGCCCTGGCAAGGGTAGCCCACCTCAGCTGCAGGAGCCCCACCCAACTGGTGATCAAGTCCCAGTGGCAAATTTTACACCACTTGCATCCCAGTCTCCATCCTGGTGGCACTCACTTCTCATCTCTAGCAGCTACACCCCATGCCTTGCTTGCTTCTTAGCTCTGGCTGTAGGTATGCTTCCAGCATACTCCCCATTCCCAGTAGCGACAGCTCAAGTTTCTGTCATGCCTCAGTTCTGGCACTGCTGGGCTGCAGGACAGCAAGCAGTCTGTCAAAGGCTAGGTTTGAAAATGATATCTTGCTCCTCAGACATTTCAGGGACGAGATGTCAGGGGAGGCTGGAGAAGCAAATAGACTCAGGAAAGTTCTCCACCTCTTGGTGAACCTGCTTCTGCACCTTGCATACCTGCGGAGCTGCTTAACCACAGGTGCTTTTCACTCTGTTCTCTTCACCTCCTTGTTCTGGGATACAGGGACAATTCTCTGGACACTGTGAAGATCTTCCTAGGGATCTCCTGCTAACTTCAAGTCAAAGAGTAACAGAGACTGCAACAGAGCCACTTGGGCCTCTTAGAGCAGAGGATACAGAGCAGTGGGGTGGGTCCCTCAATTCAGTGAGCAGACGAGACAAAGGCTGACTTAGGTTTTATTTTCATCGTGAGCTTGCAGAAATATATTTTTTCTTGATGTTCAGTGATTACATTCAAAAGTTTATTTTGAATGTAATATTATTATTTATCATTCACTGACAGGTCATTTGTAGCTTCACAAAAAAAAAAAAAAAAAAAAAAAAAACAGGGAAAGGGAGGGATGGATCTAGTGAGACTGTGCCTAATGCAATCTGTGTGTGCATTTCTGTGGGTTTGAAAACCCACTTGCTCTTTATACTAATTGAAACTAAGCAATTGTGAGTAAGAATAGCTTTAGAAGGTGCACATCTAGGCTGTGCACCGTGGTTCATGCCCGTAATCCTAGCACTTTGGGAGGCTGAGGCAGGCGGATCCCTTGAGGTCAGGGGTTTGAGACCAGCCTGGCCAACATAGTGAAACCCTGTCTCTACTAAAAATACAAAAATTAGCCAGGCATGGCAGCGGGTGCCTGTAATCCCAGCTACGCAGGAGGCTGAGGCATGAGAATCGCTTGAACCAGGAAGGCAGAGGTTGCAGTGACCCGAAATCGTGCCATTGCACTTCAGCCTGGGCAACAGAGGGAGACTCCTACTCAAAAAAAAAAAAAAGAAAAAAAGAAGGTGTAGTACATCTATCACCCCATAATGAGGTTTAAGGGTTTAGAAAGCAATTTTACCTGAATATGCCTTTAATAACTACATCAGGTATAACATGAGGATGCTGCTAAAGGAATGGAAGAGTAAGATAGGCATGAAATGATGAAGACTTTTATGGGGTTAGGACTAAAGAGAATAATTTTAAAATCTGAACAATTGGCCCAGGTGTGGTCGCTCGTGACTGTAATCTTAGCACTTTGAGAGGCTAAGTAAGGCAGGAGGATTGCTTGAGCCGCAGGAGTTTGAGACCAGCCTGGGCAACATGGTAAAACCTCATCTCTACCAAAAAAAAAAAAAAAAAGACAAAAATTAGCTGGGCATGGTGGTATGTGCCTGTGGTCCCAGGTACTCTGGAGACTGAGGTAGGAGGATCACCTGAGCCTGGGGAGGTCAAGGCTGCAGTGAGCAGTGATCACACCACTGCACTCCAGCCTGGGCGACAGTGAGACCCTGTATAGATCAGTCGATAGATAGATAGAAAGAAAGAATTCATTGATAACAGCATATAGTATTTGAAAGTAAGTATTGTATTAAGAGAATAAAAAGAAGCGTTGGTAATTGAAGGTAAATTGATGCCTTTGTAGCAATAACTTGGCAGTTCTGCAAAGCTAAATCTTGTTTATAGCCAGTCATGAGTAGACTGCAAAATTTCGAGAGTTCACTCTTTGCAGCCTGTGAATGAATCTGCATGACATTTGATTTCAAACCATCTTTCCTTTGGAGCTAGCAGGAGCTTCTTTCAAGCATACTTCCAGCCACTAGTGCTCCCATCCTCCTTGATTCAAATAGGCACAAATATGGCCATCCATTTTTCCTTTACTTTTCCCAGAAATGTGATTGTTTTCACTGCTCTTTTACTGTTTTCCTCTTAAGATAAATATAGTAATGATTTCATAAGATGACCATAATGCAGAATGTTTTCCTAAATATCTGCCTTTAGTGTAATGTAATTCTGAGGCAGAATGATGGCAAAGTTTTAATTAGCAACATTTAAGCTATAAGAAATAACCAGTTGACCTTGGCAATTATTCCATTTATGTATTCAACAAATATTATGTTAAGCACTTATTATGTGCTGTAAGTTTTGCTACCTGGTGGAGATGATTAGCAAGACACAGTCCTTATCAACTAAGGACTTGCAGTCAGGTGAAGTAGACAAATAGGTGCCCTAAAATGTAATAGGCATTTTTCTAGAAATCAGAATTCAGGGAAGACCCAAAAGAGGTAGTGGTCAGGTCTAAGGTAGGGATGTTGAGAATGGAGAATAATAGAGCAAGTTGGAAAGGATTCATAGAAAAAGCAATATTGAACTGAATCCTTAAAAAAAAAAAAAAAAAAAAAGAGGGGGAAAGAAAGGAAAGAAATACAATTAATAGAGTCTTTGTAAGCTTTTTCAGTGTAAAAGAGATCTGGAGAGGTAAGAGAGGACCCTGATGTGTCTGCCTTAAATGACTTGCTGAAAAGTTTGAACTCTAACCTGTGAAGGGCATTAAGAAGGGTGGCCATATAACCAAATTGACATTCTGGAAAGAAAGATGTGTAAAAGACCAGTTAGAAGATTATTGTACTGGTCCAGAAAAGAGATGATAATGACCAAACCAAGACAATGAAGAGGGAGGAGAGGTCAAATGTGAGATTTGATTATTGCAAAATCTGTAGGATATGGTGAATGCTGGAAGAATATAGTACTACTGAGTTCCTCTCAGTGAGAGGGCATCTCTGGGTCCAGTCAGGTTGGGGAGAAATGAATTTTCTTGGCCATGTAGATCAGGAGCTTAGGATGAATCTGGGCTGGAGACAATGCTTTGGAGCTTGGCAGTAGTTGAAGCTATGGGAATGGTTGAGATTGCCCAGGAATGCTTGTAGAGTGAGAAAGAAATGGGCTGAAGGCAGAGCTGTGAAGGTCACTAATAGGTAAGGGATATGCAAGGCGAGAGGAATGGCAGGAACAGGCTGTCAGTTGTCTAGCATCTGAATTATGTGTGTTGGGTGGAGGGGTAGATGTGAGTGAAGTAATACAGATTGCCACTGTTGGTATGACTGACAAAGTTCCAGCTCCATTATACCACCAAGGGACCAGTGAGTATTTTATTGGAGAAAAACTGAAATTGCCCCATCCAGTAGGGGAGGTAATTTTCAAGGCTTTTAATTTCCTGCTAAGTTGCTAAATCACAAGAGATTGTTTTAAAGGATACTCTTCCCTCTTTCCTTGTTTGGAAGGAATTCTATAGGCAGAAAGTTATTCTCAGAGCCCTGGGCTTTGAGAACCTCCTTTAACCATTCATCACAACAGCTCTGAGTAAATGAGGCATATTTGTATGGCTAAGGAGTCCAAAGAGCCACTGACTGGGTAGCAGTTAGTTAAGCTAGTAACTAACCTGCTTTATCTCTGAGTGGCCTCTATTCCAACCCTTCTATTTAGAGACCTGATATGCTTCATACTATTGGATGGCACATTCTATAACTCTTACTGGGGTGTCCTCTTGGAAGTGGCCATGCTGAACTGGACACATCTGAGTAATCCATGGAAAGTTCCATGGGTTCTCCTTTTTGCATGGGTCCGGTTTTCTGAGATAGGTAGATCCATACCTTCCTAACCAACAGGGGAGGGGGTAGAACCAGGGCTGTGGGAACTCCCTGAGTGTCAAATGGAATTTTCAAGAGTTTACCCTCATCTTTTTCCAATTGTTTTATTAAGGTGTCTGTACTAGCATAAGGAATTCGTAGTCTCTGTTCCTAAACTTTGTTCCAAATGGTTATGTGGTTGCAGTTCTCCGAGAATTGACCTTTAGAAGGAAGACACTAAAACATCGGAATGTAACAGAAATGCACTGTTATTCCTCCCCTCTTTTGTCTCGATCCCATGGTTCCTAGGAAGCAGCTTTATTCCTAGGAAGGAACTTTATTCTTACACATTTAGGCATCAGCTTTGTCTGCTAAGTCCTCCTTCTCCCTGACCACAGAAGACTTCATGGTAAATCAAGCCCACTGCTCTCACAAGCTTTTCTTCTTAACTTGGTCTGGCTGAAACATAGCTTCATGCAAATAGTATCAACATTGCTTATAGCTTAGCAGGGCTGTCCTTTGGGGCCAGTCATAATGACAACTGTATGATAGTAAAAAACCAATGCCAAAGCAGTTTCTAAACAGTAGTACTTGTTGAGAGGAAATGTTTTTCCTCTATCAGGAACTTTCCTCTGGGACCTGTTTATATGTCTGTGCGCACGCATGCAATGGGTGCTAGAAAAGAAACAACTTTTCATGTGGAATAGTGTTACTTCTGAGAGAAGGAATTTTGCCAATTAAATGTTTGTAGGGATTCATTTTAGAGTTTCTATCCTTTGCCCAAGTATGTCTTTTGTGCTTAATAGGAAATGAGCCTTGTTTAATTTAGTAAAACATAACACCATTTCTTTAGGAAAGTGAGGGATCCTTTTCCCTTCGAACTTAAGTGTTACACATTGGAACATCAGACCAGGTGTTTAAAATACTTGAGTGCTATAACACCTGTCCTTCTGTTATAGGTGCAACAATGAGAGTGAGTGGTCCCAGATCCACGAGAACATCATCCGAAAGTCCAGTGCCAAGTACTCTGCCCCCAGCGCCAGCCATGGTGAGGTACTTCTCTGACTACAACATTTTGTGTTGCATTTGTAGTTGCTAATCATACAGTACTTCAGTTGGTTGGTGCAGATTGCCTGCTGTATTCCCTACGGACATTTATTCTCCTGTCCAGGCATTTCCTACTCATTCTTTTTGTAGTAATTTGAGGCTTTCCCTAATATCTGCTGACCAAAATACATTTTCTGCTTTTTCTAGGATGAGTTCCATATGCTTTGATAGGTAACTTGAGTTCTAATTCAAATCCAGAGTGAGCAAAAATGTTGCAGGGTTTGTTACATTGTGAAGTCTATGTTTGCCTAAAAAAAAGATTATACTCAGCCAAATAAATATCTCTCTATATATATAGGTAGATACCTATATAGATATAGACATCACACACTTCTCTTTTTATTCCTGAAAGACTGACCATAATGAGAATCAGTGATTAGTCTGTCAGTATCAGTCATTCTGAAACTAGAATGGAAAATCTTTATTTCAAAGAAGCTTCATTTTAGCTCAACTTCTCCTTTTCTTTTTCCCGTCCTTTCTTTAAAAACTCTGTTTAAATTTCTATAAAATCTCAGTACAGTTCTACATATTGTATTGTTTTCTAAGTTAAACATTAATGCTTGATTAAATTAGAAACATTATTTAAAAGCCTATGTGCCTTTATAGACCCTTGCAGATAGCTATCTAATTTAAGCAGAACCAGGTTACTCCTGACAGTTTTTACCTCTAAATCATTTTATAACCTCTTTTACATAATCCTCTTTGTTTTAACTTGCATAGACCTTGTTGGAAATCATAAGTTGTCCTTAAATGACAGTGTAAAATCACTGAGAGGCAAGCAGTTTCTAAAGAGTAGTACATGTTGTAGAAAACTTTGGTTTTTCTCTGTTGGGGTGAGCAGATACTCAACTAGGAGGATCCTTAGAGGCGATCCATACCAGAGGCTGCCAAGATTGAGAGCTTCAGCTGTAACAACTTGATTCCTCTAAAACCCTAGTGGGGGGTTAGGTGATATCTGAGAGCCTCTCACTATTTTTAAATGACAGTTTTCCCTTATACATGTGCCTGGATGCCAAGTAGCTCCATGCAGTGTGCTAAATCTAGGCTAAAGCAAGAGACAAATAAAATTTTATTTTGAAAATATAGGAAAGTTACTAGCAATTTGGGAAACTACAATTCACATCCATATTTGTCATGTTCTTTGCTTTATTTACTTATTTGATTTATAAAGAGGTGCCCTTGACTACACATTCTTGGGACATAGTATGATTAAAACATACAGAGAATATTTAAAGAGTACTAATTCGTAAAAGAGCAACTTCTACCATTGCTTCACCTGGTTAAGATGATGAGATTTGTCTTGCTCCCCAGAGCGAGCAGGGACTGTGCCATGTTCTGTGTCTGATTTTTGTCTAGAACTCACAGACACTTGCCATTTAAACAATGTTAGAAAGACCTCTCTGCGGGGCACCACAGACTTCAGAGAGCCTCAGTTGGGATGGCTGTAATGAGAGGAGGTCTCTGTGTAGTTGTGGAAAAGTCAGTAGGAGGAACAGGCTGCTTCTTTTTGAAGTATGTTAGAAGCTAGCTGAGACCTTGGAAATCACCTGTTTCAACCCCCTCATTAAATAAATGAGGAAACTGAAGCTCAGCAAAATGACTTAGTGGCTGAACAAGGATAGAACCCAGGTCTCCAGACTCCAGACCTTTGGCCTTTCTACTCAGTTGCCAAGCTTCTGAGCATGGGTTTTCTACTGCTGGACTCTGGGGTCTTCGTGTCAGAGAATTTTATAGATTGCTCAAGGAATATTTCAGGTCTTTGTTAGTCTGCTTAATTAAAGATACATCTTTATTAAAAATCAGTTTACTTTGCTATAAACTTTTACCCATCTTCGTTAAATATTGTGGGCCGTTCATTGCCTTGCAGTTCTGTTTCCAAAGTCATTAGTGCTTTTCCTTCAAGTCACATAATTTAAAAATGCAGAAGCAATTGCTACACTGGGTTTGAATGCTGAGAGTAAATGTATCATCCAGCAATAACTCTTTTATGTGAACTTTAATAGATGTGGGTCTTCATTTCCATTGTTGGCCTCTTGGATATGTAGCTACAAACTGAACTTTTAACAGTTCCAGTAGTAGCATGAAGACTATTAAGGACAAGTGAAGATAAAGCAGTTGACACACAAGTTTTCTATTTATTTTAAAATGACTGTTAACTACAATTTATTTCCATATCTTGGGCTGACATTAATTTATATAAATAATCCTCATCCAGCATTTCCACAAGGAGGGGTGGGGGCGTGTGGCACAAGAACAGAGTCAAGTTGGTGCCCTCGAATATTTTACACAGGTGTTAATTTGTCCAGTTACTTTTTTATGAGTCAGTCTTTAATCCGATAAGAGGTTCAGTAAGAAAATGGTTTTCTTGTTCAGGTTATCAGTGAGACCAGATTAACAGAGAAATTGTATAGACTTTGTTATTTTCAAATTCTTTGATTTGAGGGCCCCATTGAGATGATAGTCAGGTAGAACATCAAGTGTTGCCAAGGGACTGGTTGCGTACTGCGTGAGTGAGTGGGTCACTTTTCTGAACTATTAATGAAGGCCCTCTTGTGCCCAGAATCATGCCTTAGCATTATTTGGTATGTGCTTCATACCAACACAGGGTTTCAGAACTAGAAAGGAAACCCACAAGTTCCAGAATCCCAACTCTACAAAAGGACATACAGTTTTTATAGCCTCCATTGTTGATTTCTTTCATTCTTTGCATGTCTTTTCATCTGATCTCTTGCATGAACTTGAAGGTTTTCTCTTATTTGTTATGTTTAGAAGTAGAGAGCAGCTCTTTAGGATCCCTTTGGGTAACTCAAAAGCTAACTGTGATACTCTCAGCACCTTTAGTCAACATCTTCTTGAGTTTCGCTTTGCATCTGTAGGCCATTTTGGTTGCTCAGAAAATGCAGAGACAAAAGGCAGTCAGCAAGTACTTAAATAAACCCTTGCCAATGCAGAATGTTTAGAGTATACCCACTGAATTTTCTTTTTTTTTTTTTTTGGCTTTTGCCCTCCAACTGCAACTCCCTCAAATTATGGAGACTTTCATCCCCAGCTGTTTGCTTCATGCTGGGCTGTCTTGTAAGTCTGATTTCTGTTTACCCAGAGGATATGATTTGATAGCTACGTAAACACAACAAAGATGAATAAGTTAGGGTTATGAGGGGAGGGCAGATATATCCTAAGCTGTTCTCTACAAAGATTATTGTGGTTTTGGTTATGGCTCCCAGCCTTTCAAGTTCATAAACTAATTGCAGTTTAGTCCGACAGTGATTAGGTTTAAGATAATTACTTTAGAGGGGCTAAAATCTTAAACACTGATTATCTAACCAGAATACCAACTGGAATACTGTATGTTTGCCTTTTCAGGGCACTATGATCCTGGTGTTAATGACACTTGAGATACCATGTTTGTAATCCCAAGGTTTCTTGGGAAGCATGAGTTTAGCAGAAGCAACAAGATAATCTTGAGGTTCTGTCTGAGCTGTAGTAGAACCGTAGTTCATCCCTTGGCTCAGCTCTGAGAGTACATATTCCTGGCTACTGGCATACTTTTCTTGCCAGATAAAATATCTGTAACTCTTCTGACTTCTGTCTTTGTCTACTTTTCCATTCCCTCCTCCCTCCCCATTCCTAGACCATTCTTATTTTACAATTCTACTTGTTACTATCTCCATTCCAGCTATTACTCTTCTAATTGTATTCATTATCATAACACCTTATTCCCTCATTTCTATAGATGTTCATCTGCTATTTAGCTCCCAAGTTTATAGACCAATGAGGGTGCCTCCTCTCAACCCACAGATCAACGCCTAAATTCTTCATCCTGTTAACAGCTAAACCCATTCACAGTTATAGAGGTAGCACTTCCTAATTCCATAGAGGCTTGACTGTTACAGCCTTCTAGCCAGTAGCTGCAGAGGGGACCCTCAGGAGGGTGCTGTGGAGGTGGAAATTTCAGGAGATTCTAGCTTTGTGCACAACTCCAAGGGTATAAGTAATGAGCCAGAAGGCAGCTCACCTGGGGTGATATTTCAAATACTCCCAAGTTTTGATTAAAGATCATGTGGAGGATCTGAAATCCTCATGGAGTCAAGGCTTGGTTAGTCCCACAAAAGCACCCTCTTTTCTTTGCAGAATGTGATGTCTCCTCTGTTGCTAGCCAGTGCAAGATTAAACTAGCAAGTTACTTCCCACACTTTGACATACTCCCAGCATAAAACACAGCACATCTTAGCTTGCTCATTTCTGATATTTGGGATGCCCTGACTGAAGGTCTTCTTTGGCCATGCTTGTTTCTACTCTGTAGATTTCTCTAGGTTCCTAAATATATAACTTATGTAGTTCAACCCTCTCATTCAGTAGGGCCAGGTGGACCCTAGTTGGATGCTGGGGAACAGAGGGAGAGAGAACTTAATCTCCCAGACCTCAGTCTGTGTTTAATAGACTAGTTCTCTGGGTTATTGGGGTCACTTTAACTTAAATTTCTTTAGCTTTCCAAAATGTTTCTTGAAAATAACTTACACTTTCTGCCTCAAAGTTTTTCTCAAGAATTTTGCTGAACTTTGCAAATTTTCTTCTGGAAAATGTGACTATGTCTTTTCTAGTACTATATAACAGGGTAGAACTGTGGTTCTAAGAAAATGCTTTTGGTTTTGCAGGTCTTATCATTTCTCTGCAGCTTCTTCGTGGAGACATGGAACAGATTCGGAGAGAAAATCCCATGATATTTAATAGGGGATTGGCAATTACAAGAAAATTGGGATTTCCTGATGTCATTATGCCAGGTATGCAGAACTGCTTGGGGCTGGGAAGGTAGATGGGTTAGGATGGAGTCTAGTGCTCCCCTCCTGAGAAGTGGTGAACTGTGCTATGGAGGAGACCTGCAGCTATTAAAATCTCCCACATCCCAAGTCAGACTGCTTACTGCAGTCTGCAGTCAATGGCCTTTCAGCTCTTATAGGCATTTGTTCTTTTCCAGAAGCCCCTACATTGCATTCACCAGTGCAACATGACAATCCAGCAGATAGGTAGGCTTTGTTGTCTTCTATGAAGCCTGGATGGTAGGAGTGAATATGGAACCTTCATGGAGAGTTTTTATACTCTTCCTTCTTTTTCTTAGAAGATAATTGTCTCACAAGAACTTCCTGCTTAAGGGGAAGAATATATCAAAATATATACGTGTAGTATCAGTGAATCCCATATGTGTAGGAATAGCAGATACCTTTCCATTTTCATGTATCAGAAAATTATAGATCAGGCAAATGGTATAAATTAGACATTGTGAATATAGCACTACCTGGCCAGCTTCTCAGAAATTGTCTCACCCATTTCATCTAATGCCCAGTGGAGAGCCAGGGCACAAATTGGGAATGCATTGACCCTCAACTGTGGTCCCAGTAGGTCAATATCAGGTTCATGTTTTCTAATTAGGCAGACATGGGTAGGACTGGAAAAGTGGATCCAAATGGGGCATCAGAGCCAAGGGAGTTATCAGGAGTGAAGAAGGGGTAGAGGCATGGTTCAGATGGATGGTAGGTGTTCAGATAACCAGAGAAGATGCAAATAAGGAGAAGAAGATTAGAACAGGTAAATGTCTGGTTGTCTGGATAGATTATAGGAGGAGTGGACTTACCCTCTCAGTTGAGTTTTTTGTTGTTGTTTGTTTGTTTTGAGACAGAGTCTTACTCTGTTGCCCACGCTGGAATGCAGTGGCGCTATCTTGGCTCACTGCGAACTCCACCCCCTAGGTTCAAGCGATTCTCCTGCCTCAGCCTCCCGAGTAGCTGGGACTACACATGTACACCGCCACACCTGGCTAATTTTTGTAATTTTTGTAGGGACAGGGTTTCACCATGTTGGCCAGACTGGTTTTGAACTCCTGACCTCAAGGGATCCAGTGCTGGCATACTGGTCTTGAACTCCTGACCTCGGCCTCCCAAAGTGCTGGGATTACAGGCTTGAGCCACTGCATCTGGCCTCAGTTGAGTTTTAATGCTCTGCTAAAAGCTTATTTGCTTTTATTGTAAAGGGCCAGGCCAGACTAGACTGAACTGATTGTGATCACTTTAAATATCACTTATTTGGAGTTCTTCATGGTGGTTCACTAAATTCTCTTGTTGGAAGCATTTGCCAGCACATACACAAAGGGTTGGGTAGCCTGGCCATAGAGAAGGCCTATGTGATGGGTTCTAGCTGCCTTCCAACTTCCCAGGCTATGCCCAGATTTATTTCCTGTCACCTTCATTCTCCCTCCATAGACACTGTAAATGCAGAGCAAGCTGCCACGCACAGCCGTCATCTTCTACTAATGCACACAGGAGTCTTTTGGATGGGAAACGTAGGCTAGTAGATCAATAATGTTTTTCTCTAAATGCTAGGGAGACTTCATTTTTATGAAAGCTGTTGTAGGGGTAATGACCGCCACAGGACACTTCCACCATCCTGTCGTGACACCTTTCTTAGCTCTTTCTGGGCTACTAATTAGGAAAAGAGCCCAAGCATAGTCAGGCTTCTTGACTATGAAAAAAAAAAAAAAAAAAGGGTCAGACGCGGTGGCTCACTCCTATAATCCCAGCACTTTGGGAGGCTGAGGTGGGCAGATCAGGAGGTCAGGAGATCGAGACCATCCTGGCTAACATGGTGAAACCCTGTCTCTACTAAAAATACAAAAAATTAGCCGGGCATGGTGGTGGGCACCTGTAGTCCCAGCCACTTGGGAGGCTGAGGCAGGAGAATGGCGTGAACCCGGGAAGTGGAGTTTGCAGTGAGCCGAGATCGCACCACTGCACTCCAGCCGGGGAGACAGAGCGAAACTCCGTCTCAGAAAAACAAACAAACAAAAAGTTACCAAAATTGAAAAAAGAATAAATAGATACCAAAATCAACCTGGTGATCTTTTAAAAATTAGATATCTAGGCTTATGTGGTGGAATGTATCCCAAGGGGATATACTTAAAGTCCTTCCTTTCTTTTAAGAACTTTTCTACGATTCAGATACTACCTTCCTGATAGTCTTCACATACTCCTGGGATTAAAACCAAGTGATCAGAGACTAGAAAGGAACAAGCTTCAGTCAAAAATGTATTTAAGCAAAATTTGATTTTAAGTTACATTGTCAAAATCTCATCTGTGGAAAGAAATCTTTTTTAGGATACTCTGCATCTCTTTGTATCATTGGCACACAGCTAGACATGACTGTGGAAATGTGCAATTTCAAGCATTGGGGAGGCAAGCTGAGGTTAAGGGGATTTTCCCTCCTCTGGGCAGCTAAGATATCGTCATATGATTTTCCCCACAAGGCAGAGATACTGGGCAGTCCTGACAGGCCCAGGGTGGGGCTGTGAGCCTGCCTTTGAAGTACTGAGTGCTATAGCCGAAAGTGAGGACTGATTCATAGGCAGAACAGCCCTTTTCCATAATCTTCCATCCTTTCTCTTCCAGAGAAAAGAACTTTTGCACAGATGGCCACTCCCAGGGTTGTGGGCTATTAACAACTCTCATTTCCCCCTTAATATGCCCCAATATACTGTCAGGAGTAGGTTTGCAGTCCCTGGGCAAAGTGATAGGACTATACCTGCAGTTCCTATTGGATCAGCAGGAAAAGTATGCAGGAGTGTTTTACATTGTGGTCAGCCTGTCTTGGGAAACAGTGACTGTTAAGAAGTCCTTAGGAGTCTTTTTCAAACCCTGGCCACATCTCTACCTGCAGCTAGTCCACCCATCATCTGTGAGAGTGTTTTACTTGAGTTGTACAGTCCCTCAGCTCTCACGGTGCTGGTGTGACCAAGTTACAAGAAATTACAACTTCATCTTCTTGACCCATGAACATGTTGAGAAATAAGAAGGAAAGAAATCATGTCAGTAACTGTGACCATGACAGCATGATAAGTCTGAGAAATTAAAGTAAATGAAAAAATTAGAATTATTCATAAACTGTGATCCTTATTTTAAAACTGTCCAGCATTTGGCGGAAACTATCACTCATTTGGAAAGGTCTTTTTTTTTTTTTTTTTTTTTTGATCAGGATGGCCCAGATAAGTCCTTGTCAAAGCATACTGGCAGAGCTGTAAGGGAGAGTTCACACAGGCTCTAGCCACACCAGTAGCTAACATATGATTTCTAAAAAGATCTTCTTGACATTCTACCATTGCTTTCCATGAGAGCGTACATACATATCACAGGGATGATGTGAGCATGAGATATTCTGCTCTTCCATGACTGAGGCCATGACTACACAGCCATGCAGTTCTGCTCTTGACCCTTGGTAATGAGCAAGAGGCAACAGTGATACTGCTGATGTTCTGGGAGCTAACCCAGGAAATGCCATCTTAGATTATGGAAGAACAAATAGATATGAGAAATTTAGCCACTTTTTTAAAAACTGAGCATATAACCTTTTGTTAGTTGATCACCATATTTCAGTGGATACTTTTTCTTTCCTTCTGAACTCATTTTAGTGAAGTACAAAAGCTAATAATAACTCTATGGCACACTTTTAGTCCTTTTCTAGATTTTTTAAGAAGATGGGCAGGCAAGACAAACAGGACAGGTGTTCCAGGTAAACAAATTGATGTTAACATTGTTTTCTGTAACTCCTGTGTCAGAATTAACTATAATAAAACTTTAAAGAAAACGGTTAGCCAAAAATGTATAACCTGAAAGAAATGATTTAAAACCTCTAACTCGGGCCAGGCTCAGTGGCTCATGCCTGTAATCCCAGCACTTTGGCAGGCCAAGGCAGGCAGATCACTTGAGGTCAGGAATTCAAGACCATCCTGGCCAACGTGGTGAAACCCCATCTCTACTGAAAATACAAAAATTAGCCCAGGGGTGGTGGTGGGCACCTGTAATCCTGGCTCCTCAGGAGTCTGAGGCAGGAGAATCGCTTGAACCTGGGAGGTGGAGGTTGCAGTGAGCCAAGATGGCACCACTGCACTCCAGCCTGGGTGACAGAGAGAGATCCCAACTCAAACAAAAAACTTAAAATAAAATAAAACCTCCTGCTTGGTCAGACGCAGTGACTCACACCTGTAATCCTAGCACTTTGGGAGGCCAAGGCAGGTGGATCACCTGAGGCCAGACATTCAAGACCAGCCTGGCCAATATGGCAAGACCCCGTCTCTAAAAAAAAAAAAAAAAGCAAAAATTAACTGGGCACGGTGGCGTGCACCTGTAGTCCCAGATATTCGGGAGGTTGAGGCATGAGAATTGCTTAAACCCGGGAGATGAAAGTTGCAGTGAGCCAAGATAGTGTCACTGCACTCCAGCCTGTGCGACAGAGCAGAACTTGTCTCAAAACCAAAACCAAAACAAAACAAAAACCTCTTGCTCAAGAAGGGACTGTACCCTTCTTCAGACCATGTCTAAGCCAGCAGAGATGTACCACCACTTGCTATGGCTGTCTTTCTTTGCTTTCCTGGAAAGTCTGTACCCTGTAGTCAGTGGAAATAAAGGGCTTTGTCATGGTTCTTTGGGAAGCACAATGATTTAACCTGTTTTCTAGGCCTTGAATTTCTGAAGTTATCATTGACTGTAGGTGATATGAGCCAAATTTCATATTAAATGGTTTTCTGTCTTGTCATAAGAAGCCCATCTATGATTCATTATGTTGTTCTAACAGATGACTAAGTTTTTTTCCTAAAGCAGTGGTTCCCGAACCTTAGTGTGCTTCAGAATCACCTGCAAGGACCATAAAACAGATTTCTGGGCCCACCCCAAGAGTTTCTAACTTAGTAGGATTGTGGTGGGACCTGGCAATTTGTGTCTCTCGCAAGCTCTCATATGAT